CGGTCGCCCGAGCTCTGGGCAGTCCTTGTGGCGTACCAAGATGGCTATACAAACGACACGCTCGCGCTCACACGGTTGCTGCGCTACCAGCAGGCGTACAGCAAGCAGTGCGACTACAGCGCCTTCCACTCGGCCTTTTCAGCGTGGTATGCGACCCGCGGCGACGATGGCTTGCGGCAGCTACAAGCGCACTACACGCCCTTCCTCGTGCACTATGCACTGCGCTACAACTGCGTATCTGTGCTATTGCACGTGGCCTCGGAAGCGCAGCTCGGCTACAAGCACATGCGTCTCGCGCTCGGCTATGGCCACGCGCCGGTCGTTCGTTTTTTGCTGCAGCTGCCGTCGACGCATGTCCCGCTCATGATGGCCATCGCAGCCGACCACGGACACGTGTCCCTCGTGCAGCTGCTGCATGACACCAACGCAGACCCAAGTCACGTCTGGCGAGGCGTCATGAAGCGAGGTCATGCGCACGTCGCCCGCTACTTGCTCGCGCAGCCCGACCTGGCGCAGTGGCCTCGGGCCGCACTGCGATCAGCGCTCATCGATGGCCATTGTGCGCTCGTACAGGTCCTCTACGCAGCGCGCGCGTTCGAGCTCACGACAGACGAAGTGGTGTGTGCGCTTCGAAGTGGCCGCCTCGAGATGGTGCAATTCGCATACGAGCACCGCGCGACGGCCTGTCTGGGTGCTCTCGTGCTTCTGGCCGCGACAGAAGAGACCATGCACATCCTCGAATGGCTCTGTAGTTTGCAAGCGCCCGAGCGACGTCACATTGAGCGAGCGCTGGACGAGACGACCGACGCGGCCGTGACGTCCTACCTCCACATGGTCCTGACGCGTCTGTCTCGGGTCGACGCCAGCAGCCCTGACCGCGTCGCAGGGCATTCCTTGTAGTAATACGTCTTGATGCCATCAACCGCCTCCAGGACCGAGATGGTATACTGTGGGGTGCCACAGGCAAAGGAGTTTCTGGGTCCCTTGCGATAGTCAATGCAAGAGTACGTACATTCAACTGCGTTTATGTACTCTTGAGTCAAGGAGAGACCGGCGTTATACTCTCCATCCATGCTCGCGCCATCGATCGGGATCGCCAAGTCGCGACGAGGACGTGCCACGTATTCCATCCGGATACCACGCAAGAATGCAGGTGCTGGGTTGTGCGTATCCGGATGCCACGGCACGACCGATGACGTTCGATGGGCTCGAGGTGGCGCTGGTGGTCGTCGAGGCCATGGACCTCGCGCCGCTGCCATCGACGGCCGGCTACTACTTTGCCCTCACGTACCTCGATGCGACGTATCGGTCGCTGCCCGACTATGGCGGCGGCACTTCGCCCAGCTGGCACCACGTCGTGACGTTCGATGTTCTTGACGCTGCGGCGCCCATGCATCTCTGCGTCTATGGCACAAGCGCCGGTACCGACGACGACGATGTCCTTGTCGGCAGCTTGCGCATCGAGCTATCGCCGCCATTGACTCTACAGGGCTGGCGGCGCCTCAAGCCATCGGGCGGTCAAGTGCACTTGGAGCTCGCGTACCATCGGCGCGCCGTGCCCTGCATTGCATCCGACGAGCTCGCGATTCTCACCGACATTGGCGCCGGCGCGTACGGCGTGGTGCAGAAAGGTCTACTGGACGGTCAACCCTGTGCGATCAAGACGCTCCACATCGTCGACGCCGATGCGTTTACGCGCGAAATGCTCTCGCTCTTCGTGTACGCCACCTCTGCGCTCTCACTGCATTAATAGGCGCTGTAGGCTCGAGTCGCCGCAGCTAGCAACTGTGCTGGCGGTCGCGGATGCCAATTCGCACCGGCCCAAGATCGTGGTCGAATTCTTTGAAGCCGGCGCACTCGCGTCTTGGCTCCACGAAAGTCCGGCGTGGCATGAAACTGAGGCGCTGCAGATCGCTGCCGACGTCGCGCAGGGCCTCGCCTACCTCCACGCCCGCGGCTGCGTCCACGGAGCTTTGCACCCGAGCAACATTATGTTAACGCCGCAACGCCGGGCCAAGCTCGTGGACCTGCACCTGGCCAGCGCGACAATGGTGCACTCTGACACGTTGCTGTCATTTCCGTGGATGTTTACGGCGCCCGAGGTGCTTGCTGGCGACGTGCCGAGTGCAGCGAGCGACGTCTACAGCCTCGGCGCACTGCTGCTCGCGCTCGCCAACAACAATGACGCGCCCTATGACGCGCCACCCGGCAATCCATTTCCGACGATCGCGAACGTCATCGCCGGCAACCTTGCGCCACGACCGATGCCGTTGACGGCGCCAGGCGTGTTCCAGGAATGTGCCCCGCGGTGCATGGCCCATACCGCCGAAGCGCGACCCGCGGCCAAGGACGTCGCTATGCAGCTCGAGACTGCGTTGCCGGCGCCCATCGTCGAGCAGAGTGCGCTCTATCTCAAAGACGACGTGGACGAAGCATTGACGATCGAGACTCAGTACTACAACCCCGAGCCAGGTTCCACCGACCACTGTGTATCCATGTACAAAGACGGTATGGGTAGATGTCGAAGTTCCTATCTTTGACGGCGCCGAGTTGCTCGAGCGCAGTCGTCTCGGCGCGGGTCCGTATGGCTTTGTCGACGCCGCCACCGTTCACGGTACACGGGTCGCGGTCCAGACGTTTCTTGACCACCGGGATGAGTTTGACCACTGCGTGCTGCTTCTCTCCAAGTCGCGATTTGACCCGATGCATCTGTCTCACATCAACCGTGTAGACTGACGCATGTACCGACCATCGTACAGCTGCTCGGCGTCGTCGACGTGGCGTCGTCACGCCCCCAACTCGTGCTCGAGTACATGGACGGCGGCGCGCTGCGGACGTACCTCGACAGCCGCCGCCGGTTCCGAACACGCGTTGAGCTCGACACGCTTACGATTGCACATGCGATTGCGTCGGCCCTTGCCGCGCTGCATGCCCAAGGCATTGTGCACCGGTACGTGAGCTCGCTCAGCGTGCTCTGGAGCTCGGCGCGCGTCGCCAAGCTCGGCAACTTTGTCTTGGCCAAGTCTACGTCGCAGGATATGGTGCTGACGCAAGGCGTCGGCGCCATGTTTTGGATGGCGCCGGAGGTCATTCGCGGTGAGTATTACGATGTATCGGCCGACATGTACTCGTTTGGTGTGCTCCTGACCGAGCTCGATACGCTCCTGCCGCCGTACGGCTACCTCCGCCAAAACCACTTTGTCACGATGGACCAAGTGAGCAAAGGACTCCTTCGACCTGAGCTCAGTGCCTCGTGCGCGCCATGGTATCGCGATCTCGCACTGGCCTGCATGGCGCAAGACCCGTCGCAGCGTCCGACCGCAGCCCAAGTGTGCACACTTCTCGAGCCGAAATTGTCGACACCAACGCGCCTCAAGTCGGGCCAAGTGCGCTCGGCCTTGAAGCCGCTCGTGAGCTTCTCGCTCCCCACCGTGTTGAAGACGCGGTTCTCGTCCAAGCGGGCCAATCGCAACAGCCAACACACTTGACTTTGCGCGAAACGATATGTTGGTCCTCGATACCATGGACGTTCTATTGTGGACATATTGTCTGGACCTGGCGTTGGGTTGGTTTTGCTTTTTGCGTCTCATTCGATGGCGGCGTTGGGATGGATATCGTAGTACAACGGAAATAGCGGGGATGGCGACGTGCTGGAACGGCTTGCATCTCCTTGTTGGTGCGCAGTCAAGTAGAACGTTTGCTCCACTTTGCGGCGACGTAAAAGACGAGCGACGGAAGCAAACCTGCCTTGTGTCTGTGTGGGTTTCCTACAGCTAATAAAACGCAATATTTGATCCTATGTTCTGCACGGTGGGTCGTCTTCATATAGTAAAGTTGCGTAGGTCCAGCCAATTTGAACGCAACAAGCGCCTCCATCAAATATCCATGGAGCATAATACAATTTCAACAGAATACTCGTACGCCGGGAGGGCATGCTCTCGCTACCGAGCTCCAAACGGCGACGCTACATTGTGTTTCGTGCTCCCCAAAGTGGTGGCGAGCGCGATGGCGAGTACGGGCGCTTTCGTTTTCAAACGTCGATCTCGCCCCAAATATGACTATTTCTGGTTGTAAATGGCAAACACCAATATTTATGGGTCGCATCAACCACAAGGCAAGAGCATCTAGGCTTGCGCCCATTTATGTGACGGCCATCAGCAGCACTTCGTCTTTGCTTGCTTTGCCATCGCAGTCAAGATCGAGAAAGTGATTCGCCTCAAGCCAGGGCCTCGTCGGAGCTCCCTCGTCGATATTGTATTGAAACAAATGAATTTGATAATAATATTTCGCCAGAACAATCAGCATGGACCGCAGCATAATGATGGCGGTAGCCGCCTCATCGTGCTGCTCTGGTAGACACCGGCGCGCCGTGCGGCTGGCAGCGTTGCGCGCATGGACGCGGCTGTGGTTGCCGGCGTCGACATCCACGGCCAACAGATCCATGCCAACCTGCACACGCCGCGCGCCCACACCTCCATGCCGCCGAGGTCTGTCCTCTCTCGCCTCGACTTCATCGCTCATCGCTCTAGCAGGCGTCGCTCCTGCATCAATGCGCCGCTCGTGTCGACGTGGCGGTGCGGGATGCGGTACACGCAAGGTTTGCTTGGACGATGGCCAGCGACTCGCGATAGTAGGCAGGATATACGCCGTGGCTACAGGCGATTCAAAGGCAGTGCTTGCCGCTTGTCCAAGCGCTTCTGCCGCATGTCGACGTCAATGCTGCTCTCGACGACATACCTGATTGCGCCTACGCCCATGCCTTTGGGGTCGACACCGTGTTCTCCGCTCCATGCTCGCCTTTCGAAGCTCCTTCGTGGTTGACGTCAGCGATGCAGTGGCCCGCGTCCTATCGCTATGTACCGCTCCATGGGCGAATTGAAAGGGACGAGAACGCTGTATCTGTAGAGACATGGGATGACGCCACTCATGCTCGCATGCCTGAGCAACAACCTGTCGATGGTCCAAATGTTGCTGTCGTGCTCGACGTTGGATCTCAACGCGGCCGATAATGTGCGTCCTCTCTCGCACGCTGGCAATGTTGGACTATTGCATGTGTCTTTGACTAGATCGGACACACGGCGCTTCTGTACTCGACAAGCGACGATGCCGTACTGCGTCTCTGTACGGACGCCCGGCTCGACGTGACGCGGCACCACAGTGTATGTAGTACTACGCATTCCCCTTCGTATACATCATATTTATCATTAGACACAAGGGACTGCGATTGAGGTCGTGGGCCGCCGCGGCAACAAGCCCGCTACGATCGTCGTGCTGCAGCGACTCTTGGGCGCACGTCATCGCAACCTGCCACCCGACGCCGTCGGCGCGATCGCCACCTTCTTTGTCTACGCGCCAGGCATGGGCTCACACCCAGGTTTTCCCGTGATAGAGTTGTTCGCCCCAAACCCAAACGAGATCTGGGAAGACCAGATTGACTCTATTCTATCGTTCCTGCCGTAATATTCCATATATTGTCCTTGTATCTTTGTCTCTTTGCCGCCGACGGCAAAGCCTGGACTTTATGTGTCGTCATGGGCGACCACAAGCGCCACGGGGGGCTACGGAAGAGCAAGACGAGCCCTCTCGCCGCCGCCTGCGCAGCCACGCCCGGTGAGCGAATGAAGAAGTACTAGTAGCAGATTGCTCGTCTCTACAAATGCCAAGTCTTTGTACGAAACACGTGTGTATGTTCCTTGTATGGTCAGGCGCGAGGCTAGTTGATTCACAGCGCCAAGTACTCCTACGCCTCGATAGATGTTGCCGCGATGACTGCTCTTTGCACCCAGTCCATGTCAGACGAATCGTCTTCACGGGGCTATTCAGCGTATGGGAGGTGACGTGGGTGAGAGCAGAGAAAGGCTTGAGGTCGTGTTGTGCTCTCCGCCAAGGACGGCCAAAGCGAGAGACCGAGCGCGCGCTTGGCGGCCGGAGTACCCATGAGAGTGCTTCTACGCGCGTGCTTCCAGCGTATCCGCTTCGCGCCTCTCCAATATTGCATGCGAAATCGCACGTCAGACCGCCACGTGTATGGCGTGTGATTGGCGATTGCTTTTAGTCCAGTGGGATTGGCCAAAATATGGGACAAACACGGCGTGTGATTGGACGACATATTTAATTGCTGCACAAATCACGATCCGGCACGAGCACGACGACGAGCGACGAGCGCGGAGCCTGCATACGGACGAGCAGGAAGCGCTCGGCGGCGCCGATCGAGGCCGACTCGACGAGCGCTTGCTAGTGGCTGCCCCATGAGGCCATGACGGAGGTCACGTGCACTGCCGAGGCGTCGGTGCCGGCTGCCCGTCCATGGAAGCAAGGAGCAAATATACATGTAGGAATGTCCCTCAATCGTAGCGACGAACCGGCTGACGATTACCGAGCGGCTGAAGCTGCGCATTGCCTGCATTGCCGCGCAGGACTCGCTCGTCATGGCTGCGGCGGCGATCCCGCCATTGTCGTGGTACGGGCCTGGATTGCCCAAGCTGATAGAGACGCTGCCATCACTCGCAGCCGTCGAACCGCACTGCCACGTGCCATCTGTGCGACGCTCGGTCGCATTGCACTCGACTTGGGAGAGAAGTTGGAGCGAGCAGCGCCGGACCCAAGACCATCTGTTTCACAACCCACACAGTTGACTTTGCACTTTGACACCA